CTTGAATGGTTAATTGGTATACGTTCTTCTATTAAATTAGAATATAAAGTCCTACTATATATGACTATAATAAAGCCAATTTGGACGTATGGCATACAGCTCTGGGGAACAGCTAGTGCCTCTAACGTAAGTAAACTACAAAGAAGACAGTCGAATATTCTTCGATCTATTAAAGATGCACCATGGTACATAAGGAACGCAAACATCCACAAGGACCTAAATATACTTACTGTTGAAGAAGAAATAAAGAAGCTTTGCCGCAAGTACTTAAACAAACTATCCGAGCACCCAAATAACTTGGCCCGCCAACTCCTACTATTCGGAGACGTGACACTCTTTCTATCATATAATTTATTTTTTTGTCTGACGCTCTCATTATTTTCAGCTCTTGTCCGGCCAATTGAACGTCGCCCACTGTTATACTTCTACAGGTAGTAGTATGCTAAATTGGAAGCTGCTTCTGTGAAAAAATCGAAAAGACTATTACTGTAGTCCGCGGGAAGATTAGTGAAGAAATCGATAAGACTATTACTGTAGTCCGCGGGATGATTAGATATAACTGTATCTAAACAAAGCAACATTATATCCGTAAGACTATTTCTGTAGTCCGTCACTTAGATATATCTGTATCTAAACTAATCTTAACTACCTACTCAATCAATTCACGAATATAACTGTATCCACAAGCCCACAAAATAACACAAATCTATATCATAAAAAAACAATAATTAATAATTAAAGCATGAAAAAATATGGGGTGATTGTATTGACAACCTCCCTATAAAAATATTAGTACATAAGATAGATTCAATATATGAAAGATTCAATAAATTAAACAATACAAAAAATAAAAGAAAAGTTCCTTTCCCATTTCTTTCTCTGAACTCTCCAGTATTTCCGTCAAAATTTTTCAATGTAATATCGAATGAAGACGTATCGGGACTATACATAACTGTGAACATATATGGACCAAATTTGGTACACTAAGTTCTAGACTAGTTTTCAGTGAATAGTTTTAACACTTACATTTAATCGGAAAAATTTAAAAATTATATATAAACTATTTTTTAAGATTGAAATAAAGGATACTCATGAAAAAAATTAAGAATTGTAACATTTTTAAAATATCTATAAACGTCGAGTAAAATAGAAACGAATAAGAAGTAAAAAAGCTGTAAGTTCGGCCGGGCCGAACTTTGAATACCCTTCACCATTTGGAACGAATTTGGCAATTCTCAAATACAATAAAATCCGTTAAAAATTCTGTTAAAATCTTAAAAATACCGAATATATACGACGACATGAACCTGCGTAGGTAACATTTTTCATAAGCCATTACAATATTCAAATGCGAAACTTACAAAAATCGTCAATGTCGATAAAATCAAAATACCGACTATCGGGAGGTACCGTTATATGGGAGCTATACGAAGACATGGACCTGCACAGACAATTTTCTGTTTTAGGCTGTAGTATCCACTACGAACTTCAAATACCAAATTTGAAACAATTCTGCTGAAAAAATGTCCATAAAATCATTAAAATACCGAATATCGGGATGTACCGTTATATGGGGGCTATACAAAGACGTGGACCTGCACAGAAAATTTTCTGTCTTAGGCTGTAGTATCCATTGTGAACTTCAAATACCGAATTTGAAACAAATCCGGTAAATAAATTCGCTAAAATCATCAAAATACCGAATATCGGGAGGAACCGTTATATGGGGGCTATACGAAGACGTGGACCTGCACAGAACATTTTCTGTCTTAGGCTGTAATATCCATTACAAACTTCAAATACCAAATTTGAAACAATTTTGGTGAAAAAATGTCCATAAAATCATTAAAATACCGAATATCGGGATGTACCGTTATATGGGGGCTATACAAAGAGGTGGACCTGCACAGAAAATTTTCTGTCTTAGGCTGTAGTATCCATTACGAACTTCAAATACCAAATATGAAATTATTCCAGTGAATAATGTCGCTAAAATCATCAAAATACCGAATATCGGGACCGCTATATGGGGGCTATACCAAAACTTGAACCTACATGGCCCATTTTCAGTACCAAAAGTCCTGCAGACATAACATACATTTGAGCAAAATTTTATCAATTTACTTCAATTCGTTCGGAAGCTAGAATGTTTTCCACAGACGGACGGACATCGCTAAATCGACATGGAATTGTATGCTGATCAAGAATATATATACTTTGTGGGATTTTAAATGTGTATTTCGAGGTGTTACAAACGGAATGACAAACTTAATATACCCTCCAAAATAAAATGAATTTGATAAAAGTTATAATACGTGCCACTCTTACAAAGAATGGCCTTTCCAAAAGCACGTCATTATAAATAAAAACAATCTTACAATAAATACAGTAAACACCTCTTATACGTAAACAATTTTTAAAACTACAAACAAATAAATTGCATCAATTTTAAAATGTATAACGAGGGAATTTATAGTAATATTATATAAAAGACGCTGTTGAATTTAAATTAAGGGTTAACAACCAATATATAAATGACAATGAGATACCAATATCGTTTGACGTTGTATCCTTATTTCCAAGTATTCCTGTAAACTTGGCAATAAACACAATAAAAGAAAAGTGGAACATCATTCAGGAATACACGAATATGCACAAAAGACTCCAGATATTTTGTATATAATAAGAAAATATTTGAACAATTAAAAGGTATGTCAATGGGATCACCTATTTCCCCTATAATCGCTGATATTGTCATGGAAGAGTTACTTAATACAACCATGAAAACTTTACCCATAAAACCAAGAATATTAACGAAATATGTCGACAACATATTTTGCAATGTGCAGAAGGACCTGGTTGACAACACCATGATGGCCCTGAAAATGTACAACAAGAACATATAATTCACAATGGAATGTGAATTGGACCACCGACTACCATACTTTGACGCCATTGTACTAAGACAAGGCAATTTTCTATTTGTAGACTTGTATCAAAAACCAACGTTCTCAGGAAGGTTAATAAATTACCATTTCAAACACCCACGGAGAATCCATATAAATACAGCCATTAACTTTGTTCACAGAGTACTAAATACCAGCGACGATAAATTTCATTCTAATAATATTAATAAAATCAAAAATATCTTAAAGATGAACGATTTCCCTGACAATACGATCAACGAACTTATAAGACACGTGAGATACAAAAGACTGGACAATAGGGAACAAAAACCTGGGAAAATTTACAAACGCTCCACTTATATACCTGGGTTTTTAGAACGTTTGCTTGCTTCATATAATTAATGTCCATGTAGAAAATAGAATGAACTATAAATCGCACACAGAACACTGTGCGCAAAATTATAAAAACACGATAGAAAGACACAAAAAGGTTTAGTCTGAAAATCTGTGTAAGGTGATGTGGAAATAAAACTGTTTTGAGAATATAATAAATGTAATTACTTGTATTTGTTAATTGTTTATAAAATATTAAAATGTATTTTATTTGTTTTTAAGTTCAATCCCTGATGATGATGATGAGTGAAAGTTGTTAGGAGCTCCTCAAAGTATACTATAAAATGTATTTGAGCCTTTAATGTCGGTGTAGATTTGGATATATCCGACACATAGTTTTTCAAAGATTTGGGTTTCAATTCCGCAGTGTTGGTCTGATGTTCTTCATATTTAAAATATATACACCTAAGTCTGTTTTTACACGGTCTTTTTGTACACGGTTTTGATATAACACGGTTTGAAAATTGAAAATTTTTCATTTTTTTACACGATTTTATTCCATTTAGCACGAGTTGAAATTTTATGTACTTAATTTTTTTTGTCAAATTTAATTTTTGCGAAGTATGTACATATCACAAAAAAGTATTTATGAAAGAAAAAAAGTCTGAAACCATCGATAGTATCGATAGTTTGCGAACACTAGCTTAAAGATTTAAGTGAATTCCCCTTTAGCGCGTACAAACAATTTTTACTGGTCAAAGCAAATGTGAATAGCACTAATTTAGGGGAATTCCCTTTATGTGCATACAATAAAATTTACTGGTCAGAGCAATTGAAACGTGTTAATATTTTGTGAACTGTCAATGCAATAAGACGTGTTTGGTAAAGAAAAAAATAAAAAAAATTAAAAATTCTTGTTTTTCGCTAATTTTAATAGGTTTTAGAGATTAGGAACAAATCGCCCATTTTTGTATAAGATCAACGTCTTTTTTTACACGGTTTTTTTTACACGGCTTCTTCTGGAACCAATCTACCGTGTAAAAACAGACTTAGGTGTAGTTCTTAGCTAGCTGATGGTCTGCAAATATTTTGACAAGAACTGGTTGTTCCTGGCTGTTTGGTTAATGCCTTTGCTATTACAATTTCTCTGCACAAATAATTGTCTACAGTTGTCAAAAAAGACAAAAAGTGACAAAATAACAGAAAATGTCTAGTTTTACACTAATATCATATTGACTTGACTATCATATTGTCGTTGTTACTTAATTTATTAACCAAATTCTTTCAGATTCATCTTATCTGAACTATTATCTATAAGTTGTTAATATAGGAAAATATTTGGAAGTCATTGTTGGATTTTTGTCCAGTGAGGCAACAATGTGCGATGGTGGTTGTTACATCAGTAAAAGTAGAAGACGACTCCTGATAGTGAAATTTCTTGAGTCTACTCGGGATTCTATACCCACGGAAAGCATTTGTCTCGAGAGATTATTCCTCTTATCATGATTTCTCTAATTCATTTTGTGTGAAGTTTTTCAATTTCTTTGCAAACTCCCTCAAGTATTGCAAGTGATTATTTTCTCGAGAAAAACAATTTTGAGAGTATTCATAATACCTTCTTCCTCGAATTATATTTTTCTTACATGCTCGTAATTCATGATTTTGCTTTAAATGTCTTTGATTGACAGTACTACTATAGTTTTGCATGGTTTCTAATACTGCTTATTATATACAAAATAATGTCTGTGAATTTGGACTTACCTCAGCTGGAGATAGCCGGTCTTTTGCATAGTAAGGATCTTTTTCCAACTCGTCTGGTGATAATGTCAAATGCATTTTCTTGTCTTCAAAATCCATGTCCTGTTCCTTTCTTTTATTGGCCTTTCTCATCATTTCTTTTGCTGTGCGTAGACCACGTTCCCATGCGCTTTCAACTACAACGGGACTATCTCCAGTTATGGTTCGAGCTTCATGCGCAGGTGTATACACACTGCCAACATGAGAAATGGCACTTCTGTGGTGTAAGGATGGACGTTCTGTCCGATAATCATGGTAATCAGCTGGATGCATATTGAAACTTGCTGGCCTACTTCCAGCAGTTCCACCCTGGAGCAATGGCACAGGCCTGACCAGATCGAACATTGTGTAATTGCCCTTATCCGTTACACCAGGATGAAGGAAACGACAACTCATACCCCAAGTACATTGTCCTCTAGTGTAAAATCGGCATACTGGTTTCGGCTCAGTTTCTTCCGGGCGCTTTTCATCTTCATCTGATACTTCGCCTTCTTCAAGCTCTTCGTTATCAGCAGTCTTTGTTTTAGGTGTCAAAGTAGTTTCATCGTTGTTCTTTTCTTCTGTTTTATTATCATCTTTACTAACGTCGTTGCATTCTCCTTCTTCAGCTTCAAAGTCAAGAGCATCGTCATCATGAGTTTTAACCAAATCTTCCAATGATTCACCAACCAGACCACTTTTTCCATTCAAATTTTTTTCATCGCTTCCATTAGAAGCTATATTTTTTTCAAGATCCTATCAAGTAGAAAACAATTAAAGTGTGAAGAAGAAAGCAGCATTGAGAATCTTAACACATAACTCGATTGAAAATAAGCATACGTAGTGGTAAAGTTTTTACAAAGGCTATTTTTAAGATAGATTTTTGTGTGAAATTGTTCTAGAATGTCATTTCGAACGAAAAAATTTAAAATTCTTAATGGGAAAACTAAGAAAATTCCAAAAAAAAAAAAAACACGAAAATTTGCATGTTATGTAAATTAGAAACTTGGCAAATTTCTATAACTTGATAAATCTCGGATTATTATGAAATTCATTATAAAATGCGGTTTGCGTAAATATCGTATGAAGAACTTAACTAGACAAACATTAGATGATTCTGTGCTGGATCTATGACACCTGACATATTGCTTTATACTTTTACAAACTGACTATTAAATAGGATGCTATCCATGACAATAATTTATTACTGAAGCCTATAGATTTAGTTTATATAATAAAAGCTAGTGACTTACACGATTAAACGCTTTACTAAAATCTGTATATATTGTATCAGTTTGCATACCATTGCAACTATAGGGGTAATTTGGATAAGATTTTGTGATGGTCAACAATCCCACCCGAAGACCATGTTGGTAAGGACATAAAATGGACTTAATTGAAATTATATCAGTTATTAATTATACCCTCCACCATGAAAAGGTGGGCATATTAACTTTTTCATTCCGTTTGTAGCATAATTTGTTTGTATATATATTCATGATCAGCAAAATCTCAGCATATCTAAAACGATGTAACGATTTCAGTCCGTTGTTGTTGTTGTAGCAGCTCATACATCCGTGTTCGTTCGGTTTCCATTTTCTGACTCAGTTCTGCCTCTAAGTCTAGTCTCAAAAAGGATGCAACCTGTATGGGTTGTGTCCATAACGAGACTGGAGTTAGGTGAGTAGGCTTGGCTGGGCAGCGAAATAGGTGCTGCGTATCATGTGGGCCTGTGCCACATGCTGGGCAGATGTTCTGCATATCGCCGTTAATCCGTGCCCAGTAGGATTTAGGCGGCTGCACCATCCGGATCGTAATTGAGCCAAGACTACTCGGGTTTATCGGGGCAGCTCTCGTTCTTCAGCTGCGATGGGAGGGGGATGGTCTCCTAGCACAGTATTCACTCAATATCCTTCAATGGCTTCTGAGACCGCATTAGAGTGAATACTATTCAGTCCCGCTTAATAGGCCTGTTGATCTAGAGGCTCTCTCTTATACCTCTGTACCTCTCTCTCTCTCTTGATCATGAAGGTCTTTCCTAACGTGCCTTGGCGGAGGTTGCCTATCCACAAGATGGTGATTTGGATGGCTTTGTCTATAACACCCAAGCAGGTAATGCGTTGACAGCATTTTGTTATGCTGTCGCACCGGTAAGACCTTCGCCTCCTCATGTAGGTGATCGACAGGTGTCATGAGAAGGCACCCTGTTGCGGTTCTAAGGGCGGCATTCTGGCAGAACTGCACATTTTTCCACTGCGCAGCACTGATGTTGGCGGACCACACCGGAGCCGCATAGTTTACCACAGACCGGCCTATCGCGTTGTAAGAGGTCAACAAGGTTTCCTTATCAGCTCCCCAAGTACTGCCGGTCAGAGACTTGAGGACCTTGTTCCTACTTCTAATCTTGTCGCAGATAGCTGTGGTATGTGCGGACGACTTAAAAAGGCTATCGAATGTAACCCCTAATACCTTGGGGTAGTTGGTGGTCGGAATTATTGCACCATCGACCTGCACATTCAAGGATAGCCCCATCTCCGCAGTCCATGTGGTGAAAAGTGTGGCCGTCGACTTAGTGGCGGATATCTTCATATTCCTCGCAGTAAAAAAGGCGGTAAGATCAACAAGGTAAGCGTTTAACCGATCGCAAATGTCATCAATAATAGGTCCGGACGCCACGAGCGTACAATCATATGCGTACGTTATAATCTCTATGCCGTCTGGAGGGTGTGGAATGTCAGAAAGGTAGAGGTTAAACAGTACCGGAGATATCACCCCACCTTGGGAACCTCCCTGTTTAACTCTACGGATGCTCGACTTCTTGTTTCTGAATTCCACGTACGACTGGCGTCCACACATGTAGTTTTTTGCTGGCATCCTTGCCTGGCTTCAGTAGCGGGACCACCCTGCCCATTTTCCAGGCATCGGGAACTACTAGGGTGGCTAACGACAGATTGAAAAGCTTTGTAAGATACTCAACTCCTGGTTCATTCAGTTGCTTCAACATCACCATTGAGATTCCGTCAGGACCAAGCGCTTTGGATGACTTTGCGCTTCTGATGACCTGTGCAACATCTGCCAACGTAAATTGTGGTGGTACCTCCTCGGCTGGAAGGGATCGTACACGGCGTAGGATCCTTCTCTTCGCCCTGTCACTCTCGGGGTGCTATACAAACTGAAGGTTAAAATAACACGCGAATCCTCTTCGGATCTGTCAAGTCTACGCCGTTGAATGAGACAGATGTCCGATCGTCCTGTTTCCCAGGGTTCGAGAGCGACTTAACCGTTGCCCACAATTTACTCTTTCCTGTACCGATGTTGGAATGCTTCAGATGTTCTAACCACTTTTGCCGCTTATGCTCACCTACTAACCTGTTTACCTCCAGAGTAAGTTCCCTGACTCTGGGGTTATTAGGGTTAGTACGGCGAAGCTCATCTCGCTCGTTTGCTAATCCCGCTGCCTCTGCTGGGAAATTCTTCTTATTCTTATTTCAGGTATTCGACCAGCAGGTATATAGCGAGCGGCTGCAGCTTTGATGATGTCTCGGAAACACCTATCCGCTACCTGAACACCAGATGGGTTGGGCAGTTCTCTGAAGCGGCGATTGGTATACTCTCTGAATTCTTGCCAATTAGCTTTCCCGTGGTTAAGGAAAGTGCGGCGTTCAGAGTCAATGAAGTCGGGTGGTCTATTGATGGCGATAATAATGAGGAGGTGGTCTGAGCCTAGAGAAATGACTGATTGCCAAGTTTCGTCATTCGTCAGACCTGGGGACACGATGGATATGTCCGGAGAACTGTGGCAGTCTCCCCTTATTCTGGTGGGCGCGTCCTCATTCACTGTGCAAAACGTGGAGCTATCAATTTGCTCAGCCAGCGCCATGCCTCTCTGGTCATTACCTAGGACGGAATTCCATAATTCATGATGGTCATTGAAATCTCCTAGCATCAGACAGTTATTGTCTACCGAAAGTGAACTGATATTGGGTATATAACGCGGGCCAAATTTGACCATACTCCCATACATTATATGCAGGGGTCACTAGAGTCAAGCTCAGGTCAGATAGGTCTGTACTGGACAGAGTGGTGCAATAGGAACGCTAATCCTCCACCTCCACCTCTGGAGCGATCCTTCCTCAGTACGTTGTATCCATCACAACTTTGAAGCCTGCAGGTGGTACTCAGCTTCGTTTCCTGGATCGCTGCGACCTTGATGTTCTTCCGACTCATAAAGCTTACAATTTCGTTGATCTTACCATCACAATTAAATTGGAGAAATGATGCATTATCCGGAACCTGAACAGCAATGTGTGGCGTCAACTGCTGCGTAGATTGCTGTTGAGGAGATTGCGAGGGAGTCTCATATTGCGACGACGATCCGTCTGTCGGTCTGTTGAAATCACGATACAGCCCATATTTTTCCATGAATTTGTCTAAAAATTGGTATTTGTAGTTTTTAATGGATTCTCGCTCCGGTGGAAGAACATTGGATGTCTAGGTCCTACAGCGCACATAGAACGGTAAATATATTGAAAAATGTGACCAAGAAATAGTTGAAATCAGCGAATACCTTCATTTGAGGGGGACTATATTACAATGTAGACCGACGTGATACATATTTTGTACAAATGATTACTCATGTAACCCCTAGGTTAGGTTTAAGGAGACTTTTTGGTCCATTGTGTTCATCCTAATTAAGAAAATAGGTGAATAGAATAGAAGAAATGGAAATTAATAGCGAGGCGTTTGGCCAGCCCAAAAAGGCGAGTACGTCAGAGCGTATGACTAGGCAAAGACATTAACGGGTAAATAATATAAACCAGCAAGTCAAATACCAAGAATATTATAAAGATTTGGCCACATCAAAGTTGGAAGAAATACAAAATAACATTGATTCCCCATGTTATTTTGTATTTCTGTTTAATTAAAGTTTTTGTGAAAACTGTCCCATTATTTTTGTTGGATTCACTTAGTCTTCGACCTGCTAACACAGGTGAATATAACATTTAACAAAATAACATACTGTAGCTTATCAGAACCGTACAGTTCAATTTACGCCCACCTGCGCCTACCTGCATTCTTCTACCGTGTCCATAAGCCTACGTCTAATACCGAAGTGAGTTGGACAGTGGCGCAGTAAGTGAGCTACCTTTTCAGTTTCCTCTACGTCTTGACAAAGTCCACGGTATTCAGCGATATTAATCAATTTCCAGAGAGCATTGCATCACTTTACACCATAGTAATGTTTATGTATCACTCGGAAGAAGTGGCACAGGGATGGCTTCACCGAGTTCTCGATCTCTTGACTCGGATCCACGTCTTCTGATTCATTACCTGACATGTTACAATGGACTGGAACCCAACAAAGCTTAATGGGTTCCAACACTCTCTAGATTTAATGATACATAAATTTAGGGTTTTCAGTGCCGCTTGACTATCGACATATGTAATCACCGGTCCATCCAGTTAAGTGTTTCTGTTTACCAACATATATATCTTTTTATAGCAAAGATATCTCTCTGGAATACGCCGAAATGGTAAGAGAACTTTGTTATAACAGCACTAGTGGCTATGTATGTCAATAGACAGGCAGCCCTCAAAACCCCAGCTTTCTGGGGTACCAGTAACATGGGAATGAAATGGCTGATGAATTGACGAACTACCGATCGGTGAGACCGTCGAACAAGCTATAAGGTATTATGTCTGCCGTTTCACAAGTTCCCTAATCAAAGAAAATTGTCGAAGATGGCACTTGGGAA